CACAAAAGAAAAAAGCCGGAAGTGGTGCTGTGGCTCAAGTGGTAGAGTGCTAGCCTTGAGCTGAAGAGCTGAGGGACGGCACCCAGGCCCAGAGTTCAGGCCCCTCAACCGGACCCAAAAAAAAAACAACAAAAAAAGAAAGTAGCCAACCTATGCTTTTATGAGATATACAATAGAGAACTCTGGGGAAAAAAATTCTTGTTATGAGAAATGTAGACTGTGACATTACGTGAGTCTGTGGCATTTTACTGTTTCATAATTAAATCACTGAAGTCCTCATCAAGAAATATAACTAGGATCCCAAATACAAGGCCAGTATGGGCTACATAGGGTCTCAAAAACCAAACCAAAGTTATTATACCTTCACTGGGCACCAGTGGCTCACACCTGTAATCCTTGCTACTCAGGAGGCTTCGATATGAGTTTAAAGCCAGTCAAATCCCAGAGACTCTTATTTCTAATTAACCAGCAAAATGCTGGAAGTAGAGGTGTGGCTGAAGCAGTAGATGGACTGCCCTGAGGAGAAAAAAAAAGGAAGCACACAAGGCCCTGAGTTCAAGCCCCAATACTAGCATACACATGCATGCATACACACAGACACAGACACAGACACACAGTTATACCTTGAAGACTGAACTGTTATAGCGATTAGGTAATCAATGGCAGTTCAATCATGAATAAATGAAGTTCAGTATCAAACACTTGACAATGCTAGGCAAACACTGCTTCAAATTTCCTGAATAGAATTTTACTTTGTATTTTAAGATTATTTCTTTGGGGCTGGGAAGGTGGCTCAGTGGTAGAGTGCTTGCCTTGCATGCATAAGGCCCTGGGTTTGATTCCTCAGCACCACATAAGCAGAAAAAGCTGGAAGTGGTGCTTTGGCTCAAGTGGTAAGGCGCTAGCCTTGAGCAGAATTGCTGAGGGTCAGTGCTCAGGCCCAGAGTTCGGGCCCCACGACCAACAAAACGAAACAAAACAAAACAAAAAGATTATTTCTTTGAACATAGTGACCTCTACTGATAGTAATATGAATTGAAATGCAATTCAATGTCACTTCTGCCTGTTTCATAAAAAAGTTCCATCTAAACATGGAGTGATTTGGTTAGAGGGGATTAGAGTAACCTAGAGGATACATAGCAATCTCCCTGAATCAATGAATGCTTTCCTATTACTATGGCAACAAACTTCCTTAGTCTGCCAGTTTTCATGAGGATCGCTGGGGAAGTAGAGAGGTTTTTAGCCTAGTCTTCACTCTCAGTGACCGGTTAAATTCCCTGGACACTGCCCCGACAGCTTTGCCAGTTGTCACTCACATTCACTAAGCACATAAAGGTGTTTAGTTAGAATTTATTCATTCACAAAATACTTATAATCTTCCAGATCATAAGTATGTCTGGAGCTGGATGCTGGTGGCTCAAACCTATAATCCTAGCTAACTCAGGAGGTTGAGATCTGAGGATCACAGAAGCCAGTCTGGGCAGGTAAGTCAGTCAGACTCACCTCCAATTAACCACCAGAAAATCACAAGTGGTGCTGGGGCTCAAAGTGGTAGAGCACTAGCACTTAGCTCAGGGACAGCACCCAGTCCCACAACAGACAAATAGGTCTGTGAGATTCTGTCTCCAAAATAACCAGCAAAGCGCTAGCTGGAAGTGTGGCTCAGGTAGTACAGTCCAACAGAGCAAGATGAGCAAGCATGAGGCCTTGTTTTCAAATCCTGCTAACAGCAAAAAAAGGAAAAATAGGGGCTGGGAAGGTGGCTCAGTGGTAGAGCGCTTGCCTTGCAATGTATGAGGCCCTGGGTTGGATTCCCCAGCACCACATAAGCAAAAAAAGCCGGAAGTGGCGCTGTGGCTCAAGTGGTAGAGCGCTAACCTTGAGCTGAAGAGCTGAGGGACAGCACTCAGGCCCAGAGTTCAGGCCCCACAACCGGACCCAAAAAAAAAAAAAAAGGAAAAATAGGGCTGAGAAGTACAGGAAAGGTATTAGGGTAGGTGGATAAGTTAAAATCATGTAGGAAAATATCACAATGAAATGGTTCAAGTGGTAGATTACCTGCCTAAGCAAGCACAAGGTCAAGTTCAAACCCCAGTACTATCAGGAAATAAAAAATTCCACAAACCAATTATTCTGTATAATTAAGAAGCACTACTTACAGCTACAATCCTGTCGTTACTGAGACATGATGGCAGGAGGATCTCAAGTTCAAGGCCAGCCTAGACAAAGTTAAACTATCTCAAGAACTCAATACAGAAAGGCTGGGGGAGCTAGGTGCTGGCATCTCACGCCTGCAATCCTAGCTACTAACGTCGCTGAGATCTGAGGATTGTGAGGGGCAGGAAAGTCTGTGAGACCTATCTCCAATTAACCACCAAAAATGGGAAGTAGAGCTGTGTGAGAGCATTAGCTTTAAGCAAAAAAGCTTAGGGAAAGCACCCAGGCCCCAAGTTCAAAGCCCCATTGACTGGGGTAGGGAGCTGCGGCAAGAGAATGCAGCCTAGATTAAATGAGTTTGTCTAGCAAGCCAGAGCTCAAGGTTCAACCCCCATTACTTAAAAAACAGATAGGGCTGGGAATGTGACTTTAGTAAGAGAGTTTGCCTAACATGCATGAAGTCCTGAGTTCAATTCCTTATTACCACATAAACAGAAAAAGCCAGAAGTGGCACTGTGGCTCCAGTGGTAAAATAATGCTAGCCTTGAGCAAAAGAAACTCGGATATGGAAGTGGCGCTGTAGCTCAAGTGGTTGAGCGCTCACCTTGAGTTGAAGAGCTGAGGGACAACGCCCAGGCCCAGAGTTCAAGCCCCAGGACTGGCTCTCCTCCCTGCTCCCCCCCCAAAAAAGGGAAAAAAAAGTATGTGCTCAAGGCTAGCACTCTACCATTTATACCACACAACCACTTCCAACTTTTTCTGAAGAGCTCATTGGAGGTAAGTCTCAGACTTTCCTGCCCAGGCTGCCTTTGAATGACAATCCTCAGATCTCAGCCTCCTGAGGATTATAGCATGAGCCACCAGTACCCAGCCTGCAATACTATTTTTCAACTCATGATTTTATTTTCAATCAACAAGTTGCCATAGAACAGAGAAACTGGCACTCTAGACTGCTAGCGAACTACCACCATGCATCAAAAAATACAAATGAAAGCTGGGTGGGTAGCGGTGGCTCATACCTCAGGAGGCTAAGATCTGAGGACCATGGTTCAAAGCCAGCCCCTGGGCAGGAAAGTCTGTGAAGCTTATCACCAGCCAACCAATGAAAAAAAAAAAAGAAAGCCCTCAGTGGAACTGTGGTAGAGCTAGCCTTGAGCAAAAGCTTGAGGATTCTGCCCATGCCAAGTTCAAGCCACAGAATCCACACCAAAACACAGGTTGTATTTAAAAATTACTTCCTATCAGTATTTTAAATAAATTGCCAATTTATCTGAGCCTATTCCCCTTCCCCCACCCCCTTTTATTGGTTGGTTGTAGGGCTTGAACTCTGGGCCTGGGCGCTGTCCCTCAGCTCTTCAGCTCAAGGCGGGCGCTCTACCACTTGAGCTACAGAGCCACTTCCGGTTTTCTGGTGGTTTATTGGAGATAAGTCTCACGGACTTTCCTGCCCAGGCTGGCTTTGAACTGTGATGCTCAGGTCTTAGCCTCCTGGGTAGCTAGGATTCCAGGCATGAGCCACCAGCGCCTGGCTCTATTTCCTCTTCTATGAGATGGCAATAGTAGCAATTTTGTCGTTAACAATAGGTTGAAAAACACATTTGGCGAATTTAAACATGACTTATCTGCTTCAGGTATGATCAAAGCAATTCTTTACCCTAGGCTTTGAAATTTAGTTGTTTCCCTTCATTTATAAAGTTCTGACCAGGATATGGTGATACATACCATGATATTATATACCCAGCATTGAGACAAGGGAGGAGGATCAAAATTAGCTTCAGTCGGCGAGACCACTTCAGAAACATCCCAAACAAGCCAGGTGCCAGTGGCTCATGACTGTAATTCTAGCTACTCAAGAGGCTGAGATTCAAAGCCAATCTGGGCAGCAAAGTTCCATCTCCAATTAATGAGCAATTTGCTTGGCTTCATTGGACTCAACAATTAGTAATGTACCAGTTGTGGGCAAAACAAGCAAGAATGTTAGGTCAAGTTCAAAGCCTGGTAAAGTTAGTTTTCAGTGTAATTAAATGTATTTACCCTTTCCCTATAATTTTGGTTTCCCTCCAGTTCCTATCAGCCTCCCAAGATTTACTCCGTATTTGCCATTTTCTTTTTACCTTAATAATTCTGCCATTTTATCAAGTTAATACTTTCTGGTCTTATTCGTTTTTTACCTTAGGAAATCATTTTATACGTCCAAATAAGCTACAAAAGATGTCTGAAAAGTACACTATATTTCATTTTACCAAACAATTCTCATGCACTAACTCTTCAAGATATCCTTGGTACTTTTTTGGCCTTAGGCATACACAGCAAGATATGGCCAGTCATTCAAAGCAATGACTTTTAAAGCACTCAAACAGAAATGTTTGATGACTTACCAGTGCTAAGAGTTCTCAAATCAGTAGTAATTTTTTAAAAAAGTAACAAAGCCAGCCAGGCGCTGGTGTGGTGGCTCACGCCTGTAATCCTAGCTACTCAGGAGGCTGAAATCTGAGGATTGCAGTTCAAAGCCAGCCAGGGCAGGAAAGACGGTGAGACTCCTATCTCCAATAAACCACCAGAAAACCGGAAGTGGCGCTGTAGCTCAAGTGGTAGAGCGCCCGCCTTGAGCTGAAGAGCTGAGGGACAGCGCCCAGGCCCAGAGCTCAAGCCCCATGACTGACCAAAAAAAGAAAAAGAAAAAAAGCCAAGGCAGGTATCACAGACCTATAAACCTAGCTACTAAGGAGGCTGACATCAAAGGACTGCTGTTCAAAGCCAGCCTGGAAAGGGACTCACCTCCAATTAACCCAGCAAAAAGCCAGGAAGTGGAGCTGTGGTTCAAATGGTAAGAGCAATAGCCTTGTGAAAAAGCTGTAACAGCTCCCAGGCCCTGAGTACAAGTCCTCAGACCAGAACACAAAAAATAAAGCCAGGCAGGTGTTGGTGGTTTAGGCTTATAATCTTAGCTATTCGGGAGGCTAAGATTTGAGAAATGTGGAAAGCCAGCCAGGCAGGAAAATCCATGAGACTCAGGTCTTAGATTTCCAATAATCAGATATCCAATTAAGCATCCCAAAGAGCCAGAAGTGGAGCTGTCGCTCAAGTGGTAGAGCACTAGCATGGGCGGGAGGAAGGGCACTGAGGCCATGAGTTCATTCTCTCTCTCTCTCTAACACACACACACACACACCGACACAACTAAGGCAAAATGATGTGCTGTATGGAAATCGCTCACGGAGATGGATAGTACTAAGCAGAATGAGAGCTGTACTTTGTATTAACCTCCCTCTCCCAGCTGCTTGTATCCTAAAACCATTTTTGCAAGATCCTTTCCTTTACACCCGTATTTTCACACTAATTCCTAGGATGCTACTAGTTACCCACCCTAAAAAGCTATAGGCTTCCTCCAATACTTTTATCTCAGACTTCCAAAAATTGAGTATCAGGATTATTTGTTCAATCTCTGCAGATTTATTGTTTAGCAAACTTATCTTTATATAATACAGGACAATTAAAGCTAAACCAAATGCAACAGATAAATAAGCCTGCCAATTACATATAGCTTTATACCAACCATGTAATTAAACCAGTTGTCAAAATTCCAAAAAGTATCCAAAAGACTTCCAACATAAAGATCAGATCAAACAAATTTGAGGCAGAACGGTATTCCCAAATTGCAGTACCATCCAGAACTGTATGAAAGCCTAAGAAAATAAAGGGCAATTCCATTCACCTTTGTTTTCACACCAAGGCTAGAGTAAAAGCTTATCCAAACTCTCAAATAGGTATTACTGCCCCCATTATTTATAAAGTCTGAATTAGAACCTATTGGCTATACCATTCTAAGGTCTACCGGACACTAGCAAAAAACATTAAGTGTTGCTAATTGTGTGAGGTTTACAGAATTGTTTTAGTCTCATTAACATTTCTGGTTGACATTTTCAGTTAGTTCACACCAGCTTGGCAAAATAAGAATGAATGTTGTTGAGAACTGCAAATAGAGCTTGGATAACAGGTCTCTGCACAGAATAAGGCAATCTATTTCAAAGAAATAGAGGGAATCTGGGCTTGAAAATTTTGCAAAGCTGGTTTACAAAGTTTTGTTCCAAACTCAGACAATTCTGCAGCAAGCATGCATTTTTTTTTTTTGGTAAAAATTGGCTAATGTTTGAAAGCAAAGAAACAAAAGAACATTGAATAGAAACCATCTTACCTAATAGCCTGAAAGCTCCAATCAACTACTAAACAGCCTCCAGAAATAATTTTCTCCCTACATCTTATACCACACATGTACTTTTAAGTTTTGCTTAGTTCCTGTCATGCTCATTGATAGGTAAATCAGTGGTCCCTCTGGTCTGACAGATGGAGATCATTAGTTGTACAATATCTCAACACCAACTTCAAAATTAACTTAGGGATGTTATGATGCTTTCATGTTACCACTATAGGGGACTCAAGATCATTTTACCCAGAGGTAAAATGGAATTTTCAAAGTCCCTTAAGGTCCTTAACAAGTGCTATTCTATAAACAGGTAATGATGCTCAAGATTTAAAACACCATTTAACTTCGAATGTAGGTCTGGAGAAATATAACTAACAATGATTAAGTCTGACACTTGGTCACCAAATTAATATTGAACACAAATCAAAATCTAGTTAGAAACATTTTATTTAAATGTGCCAAATAAAAACCCACATTTTCAGACCATAAGATGTTAATACATTCAACAAAAAACATATTTTACTGCTGTGAATTTACAGAGTAATAATCCAGATCCATTCTGATTAGATGGTTGAAAGATCTTCCCTAGATTACACTTTACAGACATCACAAATCCCTTATAATAATGTAAACAAAATACTTTCCCCTAAAGGGTGAACTTGAGAACTTCAGTCCATTCTTTCAGGACTTGCACTTCTGCGTGGACTTCCTGATGGAGACCGACTACAAGAAAAAATTAGGTTTGGAACCAATTAGTGTCTTTTGAAATTTATGCTTTTCATATACATGCCAGGGAAAAAGGCATTAAATAAATTCCTACAGCAAAAACTTAATCAAGTAAATGACATGTATTTTTTGCCCTTGCTTAATTCTAGTTCTTGTAAAAGTGTAAGTTTTAAGGAAAGAAAACTAAATGTTTTCTGGTCAGTAAATATAAAGCATTAAGCCAGGCGCTGATGGCTCATGCTTGTAATCCTATTCATTCAGGAGGCTGAGATCTGAGGCAGGGGTTCAAAGTCAGCCCAGGCTGGAAAGCCCATGAGACTTTTTTTTTTTTGGTCAGTCATGGGGCCGGAACTCTGGGCCTGGGTGCCGTTCCTCAGCTCTTCAGATGTAGACTAGCGCTCTACCACTTGAGCCTCAGTCCCACTTCTGGCTTTTTTCTGCTTATGTGGTGCTGAGGAATCCAACCAAGGCCTCATGCATGTACCACTGAGCCACCTTCCCAGCCCCACCCCAGGAGACTCTTCTCTCCAATTAACCACCAGAAAACCGAAGTGGCACTGTGGCTCAAAATGGGAGAGGGGAAAAGCTCAGGGACAGTGCCCCAGGCCCTGAATTCCAGCCCCCTGACTAAAAATAGAGAAAACAATCTTTTTTTAGGCACGAAATTTCTACAACAAATCTTAATAACCTGACACCTTATGGCTAAGTATTTCCACAAAAAACAATAGTAAGTAGGGAAGGAAAAACAATCATTTCAGAAACTAAATACCTAATCTATATAGCACCAATTCTCCAAAGAGCTCAAAGACTGCTCTGCTACACCAGCAGTAAGCAAGTAAGTTCTACAGAGGCCATACTTGACAATTCTAAGATTTGACAATTCTAAGTTTAGCTTACCTTCTTTTTGGAGATGGCGATCTGGACTTTGATCGGCTGTTAAAACATGAGAAATTCTAGTAAGAGAGAGTACTAACCAATACCTTTTTATACTTGTAATACTATAAAAATACTATAAACCCCCAAATTGTGCTCAGTGTAAAATTATCAATATTGAAGTTGAATTTTAACCATTTTCTTTTTCTTAAAAAACAAAAAACAAAAAACGGCCAATCTCCCAAAAATTGTTTTTCACATAACTGAACTGGCTTGACGTTCTGTTTCTCCATGCACCTACCAGTTCTCAAAAGGGCCTCTCAATGCCTTCTATCTCTTAACATTCCTTCCTTCAAGAAGACAACAGGCTTCTCTTCTTGTTTGGTTAAAAAAATACATGTTTTTTCAAACACATAAGGCTTTGGAGTATTGGATTAATAATTGAATTTCAACAATTCAAGTCACTTTGAACTCTTTGGATATTGGTGCCATATAACTTAGAACAGTTATCTAATCAGACTTTTACCCTACCTGCTTCTTGGTCTTGAAAGAGACCTGGATCTTGATCTTGACCTTGACCGGGATCTTAAGAGAAAATTATACAAATTAGTCTCTAGGATTCCTTTACTACTGAGCATAACATTAGGAACATCAGGATAGGGAAAGGACAAATAATCAAATAAGCTCTGTAATATCCAAGGATAACACGATAGAATTTTTGCTTTCAAGACTAGTATGATTTGATGTTAAAGGAAATTAAATCAAGTCTCACAGACTTGACCACCATCACAAGCCAAGCCTTAAACAAACTTAACTGTTCTGGTGATACCAATGAAAGTCACTACTGGATAACACTAATCCTGTGTAGTCAGAATTTATCGTGGTTCAGGACCAGTAACTGTCAACTTTCCAGTGTTTCCTGATTCTACTGAGTCTTACAACTTTTTCAAGTTAGCAACATTTAGTTATATAGTAAATATAGTCTGGCATTAGAACACATACCTAGTGTTCATTGCAGTGTCTGGTATGATCTTTTCATTCCTTCCCAGGCTCAAGTGCTCCTATTATCTCAGCTTGCAATGGCTCAAGGCCAGGTATAAACCAAATCTGGCTACAAATTCAAGTTTTAAAACTCAACAAAAATTCCCCGAAGCATTTCATTTGAATTATGTCCTTTAGTGCTGTCATTAAGACAGGACAATCTAACTACAAATAAGGAGGAAAAAAGTGTTACATACTGGAAATACCTCGATCCTTTTATAGAACCAGACCTAGATCTTCTGAGTGAAGCAGATCTCGATCTACGAAGAGACACAGATCTTGATCGTCGAGGAGATGCTGATCTTGACCTATAAGTTAAGAAATTTAAGTCCATCTTCCAAAAGTTCCTTTTCACTTATGAAGGCTTAACCTGGACAAGCTATCTCACCTCCGTCCCCGGCTCCTGCTGCGTGAGCGAGAGTATCGCCTTCCTCTGGATCGAGAATGTGATCTAGACCGTGACCTATTTTTCAAGTTAGAAAAATACAAAATATTAGACAACAATTCATTCTTAGAGTTTGTGTGCCTCTGCTGAAATCAAATCTCAAAAAACTATTTAAAATTTAATGTCTCATTTGGAAACAAACTCTGGGCCTATTAGTTGAGTATTTTTTTTTACTACCTAAAAAAAGATTTGTTAAAAGCTGAATTACAACTTAGAATTACATAATATAAAACACCATAATGTGTATTTAAAATAAACCTTGCAAGTTTGCAGGTCGACCCTCTTTGGCCCATGGTCTAGTAGTGGTCTAGAAGATCTAGACGATCTAGAAGTATCTATAGCCGATCGCTGCATCTAGATGTTTTCTTCAATCTAACGACGATCAAACTGACAGCCAAAAGAGCCAGATGAGGCTTGATTGACGCAAGAAGATTTTTCTAGTTGGGAATGTGGTCAATCTGGTGTTCCTCTTTCTAAAGCGGAGGGGGCCCCAATTGTAAGCCAAATTTACTGTTACGGCGATCACCGTCTCAAATTTTCTGCCCTTTAAAGAATAAGGTGAAGCTAGGTGTAGATGACTCGAGGGGATCTGGCCTCTTATGCTGATCACCTCAAGGTCTAGGAGGATCTTAATTGTCGGATTTGCAAGGCGCCTCAGCATGATATCATAAGGCTCGTGACATTCTGAATCAAGGCGACTGACTCAAACGAAGAAACCTGAAAGGTTTTGACCAGGTTGATTATTAATATATTAACATTTTTAATTAAAACAAAAATTGTAAAATACACCTGTACAATTAACATTCAAGTTTATAGAAAAACACTAGTTTCTGCCTTGCTAAAAAAATTACTTTGATTAACTAGAATACCAACCATTCCTTTACTAATTTAAATACCTGCTTCTTCTCCGTCGGCTATAGCGATGACAATCATAAGCATAATGTCCTTTTTCGCCACACTCATAGCATCTATCATTGGGATCAAAGGGACGCCGGGCAGGTGGTCTATCAAAACGTGATCTCCGAGGCATGCCTGTCGATAGTTCAACCCTCACTCGAGAACCACAAATCACCCTGCAAAACAATTTTAACCAGATTCTACAGTTAAAAACTATCCATCCACCCCCCGCACTGTCCATTAGTCTACTACCCCCTCATATGCTGGATCCTGTTCCAAAAGCCTCGGGGGCTTTTGTCAGTAATGGGGCTTGAACTCTGGGCCTAGGTGCTGTCCCTCAGCTCTTCAGCTCAAGCCTAGTGCTCTACCACTTGAGCCACAGCACCACTTTCAGCTTTTTCTGTTTATATGGTACTGAAAAATCGAAGCCAGGACCTCATGCATGAGGCAAGCACTATAGCTCTGATCTACCTTCCCAGCCCCATTGCTTTTTATAAAAGGATCTCAAGGATGTGTTGTGGAAGGCGTCCTTTCCCCTGACTTAGGCCTGCCTGTATTTTCCCTCCACACAAACTCTCTGCAGTCCCTGCCATCTTGATGACATTTCAGTCCCTCCCTAGTTAAGAAAGAGCTTGAAGCAACCCCAGAAAAGAAAAACAAAATAAAGGAACATGTTTCAAAAAAATTATTTATACATGTATCTTCTAAATTTAGAACTCTTAATAATTCCACCTTTGCTGCCTCAAGAAACATCATAATCAGGTACTTAATGTCTCTAGACTATAGCATCCAAGCTAGGAACACCTAGGTGACTATCTAGACCCACAGGAGTATTTGCATGTCTTAACATCTCACTTACTTTCCATCTAGTCCACGAACTGCATCTTCTGCATCTCTAGGATCTTCAAATTCCACAAAGGCAAATCCTGGAGGATTTCTGGCAATCCACACAGTTCGTAAAGGGCCATAGTAACTGAAAGCCCTTTCTAACTCTCCTTTGCCAGCACCAGTTCCCAGGTTACCAACATACACCTTGGTTTCTGTTTAAAAACAGGAAAAAAGTTAGGCAATGTTTGACTCAAATTGTAATGCATAATATCCCTTAAAACAAAACCATTCGGTGCAAAGTCTGTGCCAAATATGTGTTTTGTTTTTCAGTGCTGGGAGATAAACCAGGGTCTACCCAGTGTGTTGTATGTACAGTCTCTGATTCAGTCTCCCTGTGTTGCCCAGAGTAGCCTCATGCTTTCATCTCAGCTTCCAACATTTTAATGCTGGAAATACAGGGGTACACCACCACACTCAGCTTGTGCAACGCATTATTTAGTGCTCTCTGCTAAGGATCCAACTTAATGCTAAAAACCAGATATACACCTGGTGCCAGTGGCTCACATGTGTAACCCTCGCTACTCAGGAGGCTGACAACCGCAGTCCAAAAACCCAGCCAGGGCAGAAACACCTGCAAACTCCCAAAAAGTCCTTAGTGGAGCTGTGACTCAAGAGGTAGAGTACCCAGACAAAAGTCAAACAAATGTAGCAGTGGTACTCACTAGGCACTGCTGAAAACGATACAACTTGTGGGTGGGAAACAGGAGGGAAAAAAACTGGGAGAGGGAAGGGGTGACACTGTCCAGAAAGACATGTAATTTTAACCTGATTTATTTAACTAACCCCCCCTGGTAATCATCTTCAAAATGACAAAAAGTGCTAGCCTGAGAAGAAAGCCAAGTGTCTCCAGAGAGCCCAGGACCCTAGTTCAAGGTCCAGGAACAGCACGAAAACAATCCCAAAAGCAAAAAAAAAAGGGGGGGGATGTATGGATCTTTTCCATTTCTATCCATTATGGAGAAAAAAATATATTGGAACAGGTCAATTGCCCATGGCTCACACCTGTAACTCTTATCTAGCTACTCAGGAGGCTGAGAATTGAGATCAGGTTTCAGGAAGCCAGCCTAGATTCTGTTTTATAATTAACCAGGAAAGCAGCCAGAAGTGGAGTTGCAACTCAGATGGCAGAGTGGTATCGGGTGAAGAAGCTAAGGAACAGCCCCCAGTACTTGCAAAAAAAAAAAAAGACAGAGAGAGGCATTTTTAAAGCTAGTCTTTTTTCTCCTTTGGACAATCCGGGGTTTGAACTCAGGACCCAGACACTGTTCCTAAGCTTCTTTTGCTCAAGGCTAGCACTCTACAACTTGAGCCACAGCGCCACTTCTGGCTTTTTCTGTTTATGTGGTACTGAACCCAAGGCTTCAATCATGCATGTTAGGCCAGCACTCTACCAAAGCCACATTCCCAGCCCTAAAAGCTAGTCGTTCAACAAAAGGCGTTTTTAGCCAGAAACCTTTACACCAAGGAGATATTTAGCACCCTTTAACTACAGTGTTTTTGCCGTGACCGAAGCTATGACATGGGAGTATGAAGCTAGGGATGCTGCTAAAAAAAAAAACAAAACAAAAAAAACAAAAACAAAAATCCTATGATGTTTGGGGCAATCCTGATCCAAAATCCCAACCGTACCGAGAACCCCCGTTTTAATGCGGTGGCTCTTCAGGGCTGCAACAAATGAGTCTTAAGATTGAACCTCTGGGCGGGGAGAGAGTTGGGGGGGCAAAAAACGAAACGGTAAATTCTAAGAGCGAAGCTAGACTTGGGACCCGTCTCAGCGGGGCGACTCTGCAAACAGCGCAGACGCGTGGTAGAGCGTACTCCCGGCGTGGGGCGGGCCCGCCGGCCCCGCCCCCGAGTCCCGGCAGCCTCGGCGCGGCG